TTGACTGTTCTACTTAAACAGTTCAACTAAAACATATTTTCTTTAGTGCAACTTTTTTAATATTCTTTTTTGTTTCTGCATTTTTTATTTTATTTAATTAATTAATTTATTTTTTTCCTACTTGCTTTGATTCTGTTTTATCTTCCTGTATTTTAATCATGTAAAGCACTTTGCATTGTCTTTGTACTGAATTGTACCATACATATAAATTTGCATTGCCTTGCGTTGCCTTGCCTATCCAGATCTCTTCAAGTGGAAACGTTTAATTTTATAAAAAAATCTTTAAGGAACCCTTGGCTATGCCTTTATTAATCGATCACTTGAAAAAGTAATCAACAGATTAATCAGTTTGCAAAGAAATTGTTTGTTGCAGCCCTACTGAGAAGTTGTTTGGATGATTGGGGGGGGGGAATCTAGGTAGAAGCAGAGTCCACACCGAAATGTCCTGATTCCCACTTTGCATCAAATCAACACCTCTACCACGTGTCCCAACATGTAGCTCTAAAAACCCTCTGTTTTTAGTTCTATTTATTCTTTTTCCTTTACGTTTTATTCTACCAGAAGTGTAATCGGACGAATCTGTGTCTGTCTTCTCTCTCTAGTTAAGGTGGAAGCCACCAGCTCCCATTCCTCGCTGGCTCTATCTGCACCCCACATGTATTACACCTGTCCAGAGGGGGTGACTGCCAAACTAGTGTGTAACCAAAAGAGTACCAAGGTGTATGACGATAACCACGTAAAGGAGCGCTGGCTCTTCACGGCCCACACTGACCAGCACTGCAAAGGCAAGCTAGGCCCGAGGAATCTGTCTCTCCCTCTAAAGAGCCACGTCTTGCCTCAGGGGTTGGAGATGGGTCATACGAGCGATAAAATGTGGGTGACTCTCCATAACGTGACCTATGCCGACCAGGGTCGCTACTGCTGCATGGCGCTGGAGTTTAAGAAAGATCACGACCATCTGTCGGTCCTGCAGAATTCCCACAGCCACATTATCCTTCATGTTACACCAAGTAAGTAAAGCAAACGGCTTTATGGAAGATTTTGATTTGAAGTGGTCCAAGAGTCGGACGTGGAACCAAATCATGTGGTACCTCGTAACAGGCTGGGTGCACAAGTACGATATATTATAAACATCTTTCATTGTTCTAGGGAGGGAAGGAGCTACCAACTGCACCTTCTGGGATCCCACACCTCCTCCAGGTATGAAAGTCAACACAGACATTGAAAAGCAGACTTTTTTTCTAATTCTTCCTTTGTTTCGTTTGGCAGCATCGGTGCCCGTGGCCTTGGCGTTAGCCGCCTGCATTTTGGCTCTGCTCTCTCTGCCTCTTATTCTGGTCCTGGTCTACAAACAGCGGGAGAACTCCCGCTCAAACAGGCGTATGTATTACAGACATGATTTCTTATGGCTTTGCTTTGGGATATGCTCGATTGTTTTACTAAAATTTTACTATCAGAAATAGACAACTTGAGTATAAAATATAGCTTTATTAAATTATGTTTCTAAAAAAACTAAAAAAAACATTCCACTGGACTCAGTTTCCAAGTTTGAAGATGTTTTGCTTCCCATCCAGGAAGCTTTTTCAATTCAAAATGTTAGAAATAGCCCTGAGTTTGAGGCTACGTACATAGCCCAACATATGAGCCCCATTTACACTACCCTTGAAAAACCGATCCATGCCGAGACCGGTCTGACGACCGTTTATACATCACGCTATCTCGGTTCCTCAACTCCTCGCCTCCTAGTGACGATCTGCTGTATTACTGCCAGTATTGAAGGAGGAAATCCAGCAGTTGGTGGCGGTAAAGCACCAAAAGTTGTTTGCCATCCGCCATAAAATATAAGAAGAAGAAGACGAAAAAGGAGGGAATCAAGCAAATCAAAATGGCGGCGCCCGTCACATTCAGAAAGTTATGCTTGATTATTATTGCTGTACTTCTGTGTTATTTAAAATGCCATTAATTTAAAATGTTGCGTGGAGAAGATTTTGATTGTTGTTTATAGTTGAAGAAGAAGTTGTTCTTCTTCTGTTTC